GCGTGGCTACAACACGACAAATATCCCAAATTTACTTGGATATGAGTAATCATTTAGCAAAAAAATCAATAATCAATTTCAGTGGGACACAGATCTAAAATGGGAAACGTGAGGGTGGGCATTGCACAGGCACTTTAAACAATATCAGACAGCAGTATTCATTCATAAGTATTAATCCATAAGACTGTTGCCATGGAAACGTGTGTCAAACTGTTCACATTCTTTTTTTGTTCTGCATGTAGGTTTATACAGCATTTGCATTGCTATGTCCTACCAAGCCAGACTGTAACCAAACACACTCTTATATTAGCCCACTGCCGGTAAGTGAACTCCATTTTGTACTCCTCAAAGAACAATTGCATCATGGGGAATAGTATGTACAGTGTTGCTATCAGCCTAATTGGTTACCTCAAAGCGAGTAATGAAAAACTGATGTGAAACCTTAATCAGATTCAAATCATCCGCACAATATTTAAAAATTCAACTGTAGGGGGTACTATTGCTCATCAGTTTGCATTATTTTGTTGTTGCCAGGTGATTGGTTTTATTTTACTGCGCAATGTTCCAGGAAGACTCAGAACCAGATACAGTACATTTTTTGCATGGTTTGGAAAGATATCATTAGAGGCGAGTACACCAAAGGGAAAATTATCTCGGGCATTGAGGAGTGGTTTGAGAGTGAATGTGAAATGGATTAGGAGTGGGTAAGAAAAGAAAAGAGTGGCTGTAGAATGGGTTAGAAAAAATTGTGAAATGGTCTAGAAATTGATAAGAAATTCAGGGCTTGAACTTCAGAGACATTGAAGTCCAAATAAGTTTGACTTGGAGCCCTTTGATATTCACTATATTATTCCTTTATGCCAAGGCCCTTTTATAAATTTTGCCCTTTAAAATGTCATCTGCAAAGTATAAGCCCTGGGAATGGTTTTAGAGGGTGTGGAGTGGTCTAGAAGTGGGCAAGGAATGGGTTGAAAGTTGGCAAGGAATGGGTTAAAAGTTGGCAAGGAATGGGTTAAAAGTAGGCAAGGAATGGGTTAAAAGTAGGCAAGGAATGGGTTCAGAGTGGGTGTTAAATAGGTGGGAATAGAAGTTGGTGAGGAATAGTTTTGAGAGGCTGTTAAATGGTCTACATGGGGGTGAAGAAATGGGTTTAATGGATGTTCAATAGGTTACAAGAGGCTAAAGGATTGGTTTAGAAGGTGAGGAAGTATGAAAGCGGGTATGAAGGGATTGGGAGTAGGTGATTAATAGTTTGAGAGTTGGTGCTGAATGGTTAATAGTTGGTGAGATATGGGATGCGGGCGGGTGCTGAATTGTTAAAAGTGTGAGAGATGGGGGTTGAGAGTGGGTGCTGAATGGTTAGAAGTTGGGGAGATATGGGTTGAGAACAGCAGCTGAATGGTTAGAAATGTGAGAGATAGGGGCTGAGAGTGGGTGCTGAATGGTTAGAAGTGTGAGAGATAGGGGTTGAGAACAGCTGCTGAATGGTTAGAAGTGTGAGAGATAGGGGTTAAGAGTGGGTGCTGAATGGTTAGAAGTGTGAGAGATAGGGGGTGAGAACAGCTGCCGAATGGTTAGAAGTGTGAGAGATAGGGGTTGAGAACAGCTGCCGAATGGTTAGAAGTGTGAGAGATAGGGTTAAGAGTGGGTGCTGAATGGTTAGAAGTATGAGAGAGATAGGGGTTGAGAACAGCTGCCGAATGGTTAGAAGTGTGAGAGATAGGGTTAAGAGTGGGTGCTGAATGGTTAGAAGTGTGAGAGATAGGGGCTGAGAGTGGGTGCTGAATGGCTAGAAGTGTGAGAGAGATAGGGGTTGAGAACAGCTGCTGAATGGTTAGAAGTGTGAGAGATAGGGGCTGAGAGTGGGTGCTGAATGGCTAGAAGTGTGAGAGAGATAGGGGTTGAGAACAGCTGCTGAATGGTTAGAAGTGTGAGAGATAGGGGTTAAGAGTGGGTGCTGAATGGTTAGAAGTGTGAGAGATAGGGGGTTGAGAACAGCTGCCGAAGGTTAGAAGTGTGAGAGATAGGGGTTGATAATCAGCTGCCTGAATGGTTAGAAGTGTGAGAGATAGGGTTAAGAGTGGGTGCTGAATGGTTAGAAGTGTGAGAGATAGGGGCTGAGAGTGGGTGCTGAATGGTTAGAAGTGTGAGAGATAGGGGGTGAGAACAGCTGCTGAATGGTTAGAAGTGCGAGAGATAGGGGTTGAGAACAGCTGCTGAATGGTTAGAAGTGTGAGAGATAGGGGTTAAGAGTGGGTGCTGAATGGTTAGAAGTGTGAGAGATAGGGGGTGAGAACAGCTGCCGAATGGTTAGAAGTGTGAGAGATAGGGGTTGAGAGTGGGTGCTGAATGGTTAGAAGTGTGAGAGATAAGGGTTGAGAGTGGGTGCTGAATGGTTAGAAGTTGGTGAGATATGGGTTGAGAGCAGGTGCTGAATGGTTAGAAGTGTGAGAGATAGGGGTTGAGAGTGGGTGCTGAATGGTTAGAAGTTGGTATGAGATATGGGTTGAGAACAGGTGCTGAATGGTTAGAATGGTTTGGGTGTGATGTGTGGATGTAGACTACAAGAGTCTTAATTCAATATCCCGAAACACCCCTTATATTGATGCTTCTTTTTCTTTCCCCATAGTTGTTTATTGGTCAATATCATATTTGGTTAGCTGCAGATACCAAAGGAATCCTAATTCTCATACCCGGATACCCGGCTGTCAATCTGCTGGTGACGTCGTTTATATTTGTATGCTGCGCACATGAGATATTTGTACTCACTGTTCTGTTACAGAGGTTCTTTGTACCTAAAGACCTAAAACTCCTATTGAAAAGGATGTCTGTGTTTGTTATTATTATAATTGCAGTTTTAGCATACCAGACTTTCCAGCAACAAACAATGCTTCTAGCTTGAAGACTCAATACTTAATGGAATGTCAGGCTTTTATGTTCGTGGCTACAAAGTTGGGTGCTTGGTATCTTATTTACTTGCTTCATCTTTATTTGTAAAGTGGAATCTTGGATCAGTGGGACGTAACTAGCTAACACTAAGGAAGTTAGATGAAGATTGGTACATCTGTGGTGTATGGAGGATGCTCAAGCAAAGATAGGTAAAAGTGAACTTGGTCAGTCAAGATGGCATTAAGGTACATGGAAGATGCTTGTTCAAAAGTAGTTAAAATAACCTGATAACACCTGTGTTGTGCAGGAATAAATCAAGATGCACGTCTAAGGTGCATAAAAGGTGCTAGTGCAGAGGTAATTAACCAGGAGATGTCCGGGCTCTTCTGAAATTAGTTAAGATCAAGCATCTCTTGGTTACAAAACAAATGCTCTTCCAAGGGTAGCTGATCAGAGTAAGAATAAGAATGGATTGGATTGCAGAAGAAAATTTGAAGAAGGATTAATCAAGATTGCATGCACATATGAGCTACAAAGTAAAACAAGTGAAAAGAGTTGGGTTCACTTGGATTGTGAAAGAGAAGGGTTGATCATGATTTGCATGCACATGAGCTGCGAAGGCAACACTTACAGGAGAAATATGCTCTAGATTGAAGCAAAAACACATGTGTACAAGGAAAGTAGAAGGAATTTATCAATGGATGTACTTAGAAGAAATGTAGAAGGTCCAGCATGAACAGATGATTTTGGGCGTATATGGGTATTGAACAGGATTAAATTGTACTTGGCTGAAAAGAACTCAAAGAAAGTAATAAGAATTTGATGCACTTGTATCTATTAGATAAACAAGCATGACATGAGCAGGATTTAATTATTCCATGGTCTCAATAATATCACTTGCGAAAACATAGTGATGAGGTATTTGCTTCAAATCTTATGCATTTGGGTTCTAAACTTAACTATTACGTGTAACTTCTTTAAAAGTGTTTTTGTGAACATGCTGCTCTTTTGTGATCAGAAACACTATCTGGCACGCTATCACTTCATTTGCATGCATTTCAGATATGGACACGGATGAGCACTAGCTAGCGATTTATCATGACCACGATGTGCTTACAGAGCATACTTCAAATTTTAAACAACATATTTTACACACGTTGTATGCATCGCAGGTACCCATATTATAACATGACGCAATGACTGCCAACCTTTATGTTAGTATTTTTTTTATGTATATTCAATAGCATTTATTTTATATTATTTTATCTTTGGATCTGAAAACTGGTTCCTGCCAACCAGCACGTCTGCACATAAAACAAATGTAAACAAGTGCGCTCTCGTGACCATCTTTAATCACATCATGCAGGTTAGAAGATGAATCAGATTCCCTGTATTTCTGTCAGTGTAATGCATCTGTTTCAAAGGTTTGGGATGATTTCTGGTGAAATATAAGAGACTATTATTTTTACAAAGTTGGAATTGCTAACAACAAAGGTAGATATAACGATTAAGGGTCTGCAATTCATATAACTACGGTGGTATGCAATGAAAGTGTCACTGAAACTTTTCTTCGAAGGACATACAAGTCGTATGTTTTTATTTGGAAAGACATGCATCAATTGAACTAGTTCCAATCTGTATCATTGTTGAACAGCTAGGAGTCTTGTTTGTAAGGATGGAAATATTTGCAATTCAATTTACGCAGTACATACTACAAGAGCATCAGGAAAAAAAACCTGACACCAACTGTTTAGACTCACTTTCTTGTTGGGGGTGAATAACAGAGCTCAATGGGTTTTCATGAAATTGCAATTTGCATATTTCATTTATTTGGTTTATTATTCATTTTACAGAAAAATAAGCGAATGGAATAAAATTCTGTATCCACCCCTACTTGTGATCAACTTGATCTTTATCTGTGTGTCACTTTAATAGGTGAGTTTTATGTTCCTGGGAGCGTTCCATGGTTGAACCATTACTGAAAATGCTTGCAACTGAGTGGGGGGGGGTGTAAATTTTGTCTCACTTTTACGCAAGGTGAATATATATGTTTGTATGTTGTCTCTGCAAAATATTTGACAAAAGTACCCGTACATACAGATGCCAAAATTTTCTATATTTAAGTTTGTCAACTTTCAAAAGTAACTTAGATGACTATAATACAGAATCATCAGTACAAAACGGAGGTTGAATATCTGCCTGAAAATTGCGTTTTTCTGCTGACTGAAAGTGAATTATTTTCAATTCAACCCATTCAGTAGCATAGCAATCAAACAAATGGGAACCTGTGGAACCCAAAACTCATCTATTACCAACCCTTATATTTTATCTATTTTAAATGAAGCAATTTGTATCAAATATATTATGTTTTATTATGCTGCATGTAAGGGGATATAATATTGAGGAACTTTTATAATGTTAAACAATGAATGAGTATGTTAGTGTTTTGTACAAGATTGGTAGGAGAAGGGTTTTCCAATAAACGGTTGGGTTTATTTTGCAGAACTGTTAACCTCGTATAATTACAAACATTTCTAACACAGGAAAGTGATGAAATGCCCCTGCGAACAACTTGTATTGATTATCTAGTGTGGGCCTTATATATTGCATGTCATACATGTGTGGTCAAGAAAGGTGCTCTTTTTGAATATTAGTACTTACAGTGGATTTTTCAATTAATGAATTAATATCTTGTTTCCCCATGTTGGGGTTTCAGCTATGTGTATTTCTACACATAGCTGCTGTACATGTGTACCGTATTTGCTCTATTAGTTGCCTCTTTGCTTATGTAAATGATAGAACTATCAATGGTCAT